GGGGGGATGAGCTTGATGTAGCTTGTCGATTAACTGTACTGTTATTATTCTTTCATCTTACTGATTTTGTTTGGCCAACATAATTAGTATGCTAGCTTATTTGAGGCTTGGGAAGGTCCTTGTGATACATGTTTGCTTCTATTTGTATTAGATTTTTCTCTTTGTTGTAGGATGGTGAGTACTCAGGGATGAAGCTTACCCGATCCTGACTATAAACTGTTTGAATTGGGTGTTGGAGCTACGGCGGGAGTTAGATATAAGCATATTTGGGTATCTCGTGAAAGAGCCATGTTTGTTTAGGCATTCAACATTTTAAAATAGCAAAAGCATTAGTTAGTCGTGAGTGAAAGCATTTGAGCGAATCCCCCTCGATTTACTTTCATGTCACTTCATAAACTCATTATGTTTGTTTTATATTTCGGATAATCCAGCATACTATCCCATAATATCTTCGTGTTTGTCTATTTACCGTTTTTACAAATTTAAGTCACAATATTCATACCACTTAAACAAATTGTTTTTATTTTGCTTTTTGGTCGTCTGATTTACTATTTCAAGGCAAAGCTATAATTCTCATGGAAACAACCTTGTTTTTATACTACAACCAATAATTTTGGTGTACACTTGCACGATTTTCACATTAGTTATGGGTTAACAAACAAGTTTCTGGTATCGTTGCCAGGGATTAAGTTTTCTTACTTTGATTTTAGCACTTTAGAATATGGGGCTTAAAGAGCTCTCTAAATCTCTCTCTTATTTATTTGTGTAGTGAAGGAACGATTTCCCTTTCTTGGAATTCAAGTTTGACCTCTAAATTGAACAGCCATCCAGAAGAAGAAGGGCTAAGCTAAGAATCTAGCATAGAGAAAACATCAAAATGAATCCACCAAACTTGCCAAATTTGCACGAGTTGAAGTAGGAATACTAGGGGATGTAGCGGGACAAGCTATCCCAACACCTCCTCTAAATGTTGTATTATTAGCAGATGGCATAGAGGAGGAGATCATAGCGTATGCTGCTCCAGCATTTTACAATTTCAACCTAGTGATAGTTGAGCATGATATCGAATCTAATAAGTTTGAGCTGAAGCCGGTTATGTTCCAAATCCTGCAGACCGTAGGGCCATTTCATGGGTATGCATTAGAAGATCCTCATAGGCACCTGCGGTTTTCATTCAAGTAGCAGAATAGTTTAAAATTGAAGGAGTAAGCAAAGAAGCAATGCGATTGAAGTTATTCCCCTATTCCTTGAGGGATAGTGCTAAAGCATGGATAGACTCCTTGCCAGAAAAGTCCATCACTTCATGGAATGACTTGGCTGAGAAGTTCCTGATGAAATATTTCCCTCCATCAAAGAATGCAAAACTTCGGAATAACATTAAGAATTTCTAGCAATTTCCTGGAGAGTCCCTAAGTGAGTTATCTGAAAGATTTAAAAGACTGCTCTAGAGGTGCCCACATCATGGTATCCTAAGATGTATTATGATAGAAATGTATTATAATGGTCTGAATGAGGCTACACAGTTGGTAATTGGTGCTTCAGCAAATGGAGCATTATTATCCAAGCCATATGCAGAAGCCTTTGACACTCCGAAAATAATTTCAAGCAATAAGCACCAATGGTCGAAATCAAGGGTTGCATCAGCTAAGACATCCAAGAGATTAGCAGATGATGATGTAGTAGCAGATCTGAATTCAAAAATTTCAATGCTAGTAGACATTATGATGAAAAACATAACTCAACATGATGCAGAAGTTTCCAAAGCTACGGTAAAAAGTGTGTAGAGTGTGTCATGCCCAAATTGCTAAGGTGAACACTTGTTTGAGGATTGCCCTTGCAACCCTGCATCAATATTCTACTTAGGAAATTCACAGCCAAATAGGAACAACGTGCATGGGACTACTTATAATTCGAGCTGGAGCAATCATCCTAATTTTAGTTAGGATGGAAACCAATTAGGACAAAATGCACGAACCAGTAGTGCTCCAACATACTAGCAAAAAGTGCAATATCCACCAGGATTCTCTAGGCAAAATCAAGTGGCAGTTCCAAAGCAACCACAAGTTATGACTTTCGAGGACATGTTTAAAGTGTTTATACCTAAAAATGAGTCAATAGTGCAGAGTCAAGCAGCGTCTTTGAGAAACATGGAGGTAGAAATAGGAAAGCTGGCAACTGAATTAAAAAGTGGTCCGCGGTGAGTGCTCCCTAACGACACTGAACAGTTGAAAAGAGATGGAAAAGAACAGTGCAAAGCTTTAACGTTGTGAAGTGGCAAAGCCTTACCTCTAGCCCATCCTCAAGCAGAAGTGGATAGTGAAAGAATAGCTTAACCAAATGTTTCCGAAAAAAGAAGATGAGACTACACAGAAAGATAAGTTAGTGGTTTCAACTCCAGAGCACAATGCAGAGCAGTCATGAGAGAAAAATAATAGTGGCACCTAAACTACAAAATTGAAGGGACAAGAGCTGAGTAGTGGAAAAGAAACGGTTGAGGCACCCAAAACAGATGTTGCTTGAGCATTCGTGTCTAAGGAAACTGGAAAGTTAAAGCAACCAGATCAAGTAGCTGCTCCAGTATAATATGGTCTTATGCCTCCTTAGTTCTTATCTGAAAAGGCTACAAAAGAAGAATCATGATGGGCAGTTAAATAAATTCCTTAAAGTACTTAAGCAACTGCATATCAATATTCCACTAGTTGAAGCACAAGAACACATGCATAGTTATGTTCGGTTTTTTAGGGATATTCTCACAAAGAAGCGTAGGTTGGGTGAGTTTGAAACAATTTTTTTAATGAAGGAATGCAGTACAATTCTTACCAGCAAAATACCAGAGAAAATGAAAAATTCAGGTAGCTTCATAATACCAGTAGCCATTGGAGGGCAGAAAATTAGACAAACGCTGTATGATCTTGGAGCAAGCATCAACTTGATGCCCATGTCAATTTATAAAAAGTTAGGCATAGGAGAGGCAAGGCCTACTATGGTAACTCTTCAGCTAGCAAGCCGCTCCATCACTCATCCCGAAGGCCAAATTCAAGATGTCTTGGTAGAAGTTGATAAATTTACATTTCCTACAGATTTTATAATACTTGACTATGATGCAAATAAAGAAGTACCAATCATCAATGGGAGACCATTCCTGGCCACTGGTAGAGCATTGGTGGATGTACACAAGGGAAAAGTAACCATGCGGGTGAAATACCATGAGATACAATTCTCGGTGTACGATTCCACGAAATACCTTGCGGAAGCTGAAGAGTGCCCCGTCCTGATAATCTTAGATGAAACGCTAATAGATATATTGAGCTCAAAAGCTATGCTAGGGTAGGTAGAAAGCAGTAGAAACGCTAAGCTGGAGTATGACGAACAAGATCATAGGGAAGTCATATATCTTGATAGTGAAAAGGAATTGACTCATTCCAAGTCTAAAGTATTTGAAATTTTGGATATAGAAGCCAACAGCCGTAAGTAGCTGAAGCCATAAGTGGAAGAACCACCAGAGTTAGAGCTTAAATCAGTGTCCTAGCATCTGAAATATTCATACCCTGGGACATCTAAAACACTTCTCATAATCATCGCTGCGAATTTGTCTAAGGAAATAAGAAAGAAAGTTGTTGACTGTGTTAAGGGAGCATCAGAAGGCTATAGGTTGGACAATAGCTGACATTAAGGCGATCAGTCCTACATGCATAAGATTGTCCTAGATGAATCAAGCAGAACGAAGTTGTGAAAAAGGAAATCATCAAATGGCTAAATGTTGGGATCATCTATCCAATCTCTGATAGTGAATGGGTCAGCCCTATAAAATATGTACCGAAGAAGGGAGGAATGACGGTTGTTAAAAATGCTAAGAACGAGCTAATTCCACAAAAACTAACACATGGTGGCGAATATGAAGGAATTACAAGAAACTCGATTAGGCCACAAGGAAAGACCATTTCCCTTTGCTTTTATTGACTAGATGTTAGATAGATTGGCAAGATAAGAGTACTACTATTTCCTGGATGGATACAGTGGGTATAATCAAATCACAATTGCTCCCCAAGATCAGCACAAGACTACTTTTACATGCCCTTTTGGAACATCTGCTTTAAGGAGAATGTCATTTGGGCAATGTAATGCTCTAGCAACGTTTCAGCATTGCATGATGGCCATATTTTCATAGCTGATTGAGTCAATGGTGGAGGTCTTCATGGATGATTTCTCGGTGTTTGGAGCGAATTTTGCTGAATGCTTGACCAAATTACAATGTTTGCTTCAGTGGTATGAAGATATCAACCTAGTGCTTAACTGGGAAAAATGTCACTTTATGGTTCAAGAAGGTATATTGTTGGGATATCGCGTTTCAAAGAATGGCCTGGAAGTTGATAAGGCAAAGACAGAGGCCATTGAATAGCTGCCACCTACCACAAATGTAAAGGGTGTACGAAGTTTCTTAGGCCATACAGTTGGTTTATAAAAGATTTTTCATAACTTGCTAAACCTCTATGCTCTTTGTTGGAAAATGACCACGTGTTTGAATAATACATCCTTGAAAACCATTTCCTTGGAAGTTGTCTTCGAAGATCATAATGCTCCTGATGAAGATGATATTATCTGCCTATCATATAAGTATATGAACATTATCAAGAAGAAAGGACGTTTCTCTAACAAAATGAGTCAAAATATGGAAAGAGCAAAAAAGATGAGGTCATGTGCTATGAGTGTAAGAAATAGGGATGAGAATGAATTTTCCTTTCATCAAACCATCCAAGAAATACAAAGAAGAATAAAAAAAAAGCTAGTTGGAATAGGGTTATTTTTTTTAATATTGTTGTTAATAAAACTTATTTTAAAAATATAGTTGTTTAATTAAAAATATTAAAAATATTGTAGGTTTTGAAACTTTTTTTAAAAATATTGTAGTTGTAAAGGATTGAAGGATGGTCGTCTAGACCATCCCACATGGTCGAAGAGACGACCAGCTAGACGTGGCGCCACGTGGGTGCCACGTCAATTTTTTTTAAACTTTGAATGTCACGTCTTTTTTTTTTTAATATTAACCGTGAGACGACCATGCCTTTGCTTTTTTTATATTAACCATTAAAATTTTTCTTTTTTATAATATTAGTTATATGTTTTTTTCTTTAAAGTTATATGTTTTTATAACATTATAATTTATAATTTTTTTTTAATTTTTTATTAATTTATCAAAATTTATTAATTTCTTAACACAAATTTATAATATTATTTATTTATCAAAATTTATTAATTTATATTTTATTTTTTCTTATAGAATCGTGAAGTTATCCATGGTAGTTCAAAATTGGAAATTAATATTATAAATTAGAGAACAATATTTGAAGCTTGTCAATTTACAGTCTATCGATCTAATCTGTCCCACAATGGGGACGTTGCCGGTTACGATATGGCTGACGACGAACTATTGGTGCCGCTGGTGTCTCCTGACCCTCTGTAGGGTCTCAATCCTCTGTAGGGTTGAAGTATTTTCCATGCTCTCCACGTCCACATCCATGGCCCCCTCTAGATTGTGTGTGATACTGACTAGAACTAGGAGTCGGTATCATGACCATAGGCATGGACGGACCAGCATCATCCTGTGTCTGTGTAAACAGTGGAATGTCCTCAACCCTATGATAGATAACTTCAGGTACGAGATCGTCAAGCCCTACTGGAGCATCTTGGTCTATTTGACGTCGTCCTCTTCGCCTAGGGCCACGAGCAGGAGTAGGTATTTTGTACATTTCATGAAGACTCTGAAGATGCCTCCCGCCAACGTTGCACAACGTATTAATTTCATCTGATGACGAGAGAATACTGATTTGCTCAAAACACGCAGCTTACATGGAAATAAATTAATAAATATGTATTTATTAATTTGAATAATTGTTATAACGAAATAAAAGATTGTACCGTAGCACCAAATGCTGCTCCTTCTCGAGTTATATATCGTCTGGTGATTAACGTATACCAGCTCATGTATCCTAGATCGCAATCACCATCATCGTCGATGGGAGGATTGATAACAATAAAATCTCTACGTATGTGCCACCTCGCCACAAAATGTGCAATCTGATTCTGCCAGGTGCTATCCCGAATGTCGATGTCATGTATCCTCTTATCCCAGCATGGCACCTCTGGAATTGCTTGTTTCATACCAAATTGTCTGATAACTCTATCAGAATGATGTCACTCCACAATATGAAAGCATATGAGTGGACTCACAGTGCACCAGACGTTATGTCCATTGGAACAAAAGTCGGGTAGGTTGGCAAATTCCTTATCATATGGCTTCCAGATCATCTGAAATTGTAATAAAAAAACTGTGTAATTAATTATAAATGAATACATATTTTATATTCTAACATTTAAAAAACTTACCGAGCCTGGTGACAAGAGGTCCAGCATGTATCTATACTAGATCAAAACATATATAGACAATTCTGTAACACAAAATTGATCTCTCCACCTACAATAATATTATAGGTTAGTACAACAATTGAATGCGTGAAAAAATTTTAAGAGGAAAATAGTACAATATTTATATCGACGTACCGGGTAGCTAATGATCGACCCACGAGCTCGTGATCTGAGATATACCGACGTTGTGGAGCCATCGTGGGGAATCGATCCCAAACCCATCTTGAAGAAGTATAATTGGACCAGCAATGTCACGTGAGTCAGAGCGACACGATTTGCACAGATTTCGATACAACCATTCCAAACATGCTCCACCCCAACTGAAACGTCCAGCTACCTCGAAATCTGCTAACAGTGGAAGAAACATTAAATGCACCAAGTTGCTAGACTTATCGGCGAATAGACTACCACCGATAAGCTACATAATATAGGCACGAGTGTATCTGGCAATGGTTTCCTCATCAGCATCGTCGACTAGATTACGAAATTGAGAAGCTAGCCAAGGTTGACTCAGCCTGAAGCCTCTGATGTGCGCAGTGTCACGGTCGTACATTTTTCAACGGCGCGGCCCCATGATCTAAGGTCGACCATGGCCAGCCTTACGGAGAACTCTAGCCCCAATCTACTTTTTGCACCCTTTGTGGCTTCGTCGGACCTTAGACGAGGTTCTTTCTTCCTCGACTCAGCTTCATTTCACTTTTCCAACCATCTTGGTTCTCGGTCACTCTGCCGTCCCGCTCCTACGATGAGCCAAGACCTTACCGGGATGAGTTCTGACCTATAACGGGGTCAGAACGAGCTTAAAATGCCAACCGGGTACAACCGGGAGATTCCTGCCGCTTAACTATGTCAAAACTAGCTTATCGGACCCATTGGACGCCTCTAAGACCATTCCTGCCAAGAAACTAGTCGGGCTAAACGGCCTTATCGGGTACTGCCGGGATGATTCCTGGCGACTTCCGGACAAAGAATGATTAAACTTGACGACCGGGATGAGTCTTGCCGTTTACTAGGCCAAGACTAGCTTTTTCTCACTTACCGGGTGCCCACCGGTACTGTAGGATGCCATTCCGAGCATCGGGATGTCATCGAGCTTTACGGAACTCTTGCACATGTATACCGAGAACCGACCCATGGACTTGTATTTATGATCGGGGCCTTTCGGACATCCATCCATCCGGAC